CCGCGCCCCCGCCCGGCATCGCCGCCAGCCCCGCGCGCCGGAAGTGCGTCACGGCACCGACGGGAAGTGGGGCAGGGCGCCGCTTGAGGCCGCCCCGCTGCCATGTTGGGTGCGGGCAGGACGGCGGCCCGCAGGGCCCGCACCGAGCGGCACCGGCGCTACGCGTCCCCTCCCGCCGCCCGCGCCTGCCCTGAGGCCGCGGGCCCGGCCGCTCCCTGCTGCTCGTCCCGCCCCCGGCGCCGATCCCCTCCCGGCGGCCAGCCGGGCCCGACCCCCCGGATTAGCCTGGGCACGGCCTAAGCCTCTTTGCTGCCGCCGCCCCCGGGATGGCCCGGCATGGAGGCCGGCGGCGCTGAGCGACGCGGCGGGGAGCTCTGCCTGCAGGTGAGGCCAAGCGGGGAGGGGGGTCCGGACTCCCCTCACGGGAGCGGCGGGGCCGAGGCGGTACCAGGGCGGGCAGGGGGGCACGGGGCCCGGGCAGCGCGGCGTCTCCATGGCAACGGCCTGGGAGGGGGCGTGGCCAAAGGGGCTGGGGGCGTGAGCGGTCAGACATAGGGCGTGGCTACTGCGGAAGGGGGCGTGGTCATCGCGGAGGGCTCCGCAGCTGCCCGCGAGGAGGGGCGGGGCTAAGGGGATGGCCCCGCCCCATCGGCGGTGGCCCCGCCCCTCGCCCCAGCCCGGGGGTCCTGAGCCCCCCGCACCCCTCAGGTGGGCGACGCCGGCCTGGGCGGCCTCATCCTGCTGCTGCTGACGGCCCGGCCGGCCCCGGGTGATGGGGCGGCCCGCGGGGAGCTCCTCGAGCCTGGTGAGACACTCAGGAGGCTGCGGGGACCTTGAGGGGCTGTGGGGTCCTGGGGTGTTGTGGAGACCCTGAGGGGGTATGGGATTCTGGGGGACTGTGGGGACCCTAATGGGGTGTGGGGTCCTGGGTCGGCTGCGGGAACCGTGGTGGGTTATGAAGATCCTGGGGATAGTGTGGGGGACCTAACGGGATATGGGATCTGGGGGGAACTATGGAAATGCTGATGGGATTCTGGGACTGCCTGGGTGTCCAGGGGGCTGGGGGGCTCAGGGCTGGGGTGACAGAGATGAGGGGGTTGTGGGCAGAGGCTCCCCCACCTGAGGGTCTGTGCCCCACCCCGAGGTCCCTGCCCCACGCTGAGGGTCCCATGCCCGCAGGCGGGCTGCGGGGGCCCCTGGCGCGCTCCCTGCAGCGGGCAGAGGCCATGCTGCGCAGCTGCGTCACCCCGGG